TGATATTCTCAGTACTGACATATACATATGACCATCAAGATTAACAAAATTTTCTATATTCTTTTTTCTTTCTTTTTATTTTTCTTACATTTGAATATATTCGTTCTATTAATCGCCATTCAGTTCAAAGGAATAGATTATAGAACCAAATTATAATCACCCTACTTAGCAGTGAATTCTCTAGACAATTGTTATTAAATGGTAGTTGAAACATAATAAATGATTTTGCGGCAGTGATACTCATATTTAAGTGCTGTTTCGATAGCTCAACGAATGAAAAATAAACAAGCTTCTTTCTAATTGATTTGCCTAAGATGATATCAATGACTGACGGCGGTTTGTGATTTTAAGCTGATGAAGAATGAAGAAAACTCGATCGATTTGCACATTCGATCAGATCGAAGAAATAAACCACAAGCCAGAGTTTGCCAGTTAGAACAACTGAATACTTGTATAAAATGAGACATTATAGATATTAACTAGTTGTCAACGCGTCATATTCTATCTGCATCGAAGATTAATATCATGAACATCATGAAACGCAGTGAATAATAATTTTTATTTTAAACGTACAGTGAAGTATGAAGTATTTAATAAATTAATCGAATGAAATGCTTGAATTCGTGCATAATAGTATTATATTTGAATATATATTATTGCAAGCAGGAGAGTTCAATGTATATCAAATTATAATTTGATATAAGAACACCGACGAGACGTGCACGAGATCTTCAAGAGATCTTAGGTCGTTCACCTTTCCCGTTGATAATTATAGTTTTCCTACTGATGCTCTACTGACAAGACGTACGATTATAATTAATTTGTTTCCTGGTAATGCTATATCGGTCTCGTTACGTTTTAGAAGCGTAGCAAAAAGAAAAATGGCATGCTTTTGTATGCTAGTACTTTATTTGAGCCTTGAAACGAACGTCTCTTACCTGTTGCATTTCTGAAGAGGATTATACATATATATATAAAATCTATGCACCTAAAATCTTACAAAACAATACGCGGTTAAAATATCAAGAGTAAATTAACTAGGGCAAAATTTGGCAAAACGAAAATTCGGTTACGTCATATAAAATCACGTGCATCGATATCACACTTTGTAAGTGCAATGATGAGTATACGCGGTTGCCCTTGGATAAGATCCAAAATAATTCCGGCACCTTACTTCGAAGTAGCTTCATACTAAAATACCAACTGCGTACTTAATACCTAATTATATTTGCTTGATGCGTAAAGTATAACAGAAAAATAAAGGAAACAATTCGAAAGAAATAATACATATTTGAAATGATTATGACTACATATTAAGAATCTCCCACTAATTCATCGTACTTACTTCTTTCCTTTAATCTCGTCTCATTGTTTTGTTTTGTTAGCCTGCATACCGTGATATGTAAAATATAAAATATGGGTTTCTAGGAACCTATGTTGGCTTGGCCATTAACAGTGAAGATACTTATACTGTAACATCATCGTTGTTAATCGCACATATTAAGAATCTCGCACGAATTCACCACATTTATCTTTTTCCTTTAATCTCACCTCACTTTGTTTTGTTAACTTGAATATGTAATACGTGATATGTAAAATATAAAACACGAGTTCCTGAGAACCTGTTTTGCATCAATTCGACGACTAATCATGAAGATATTTATGCTAAACGAAGACAAAGTTCAAATGAGTTTCAAGCTAAATAAACTAATTATCTAAAAATATGTAGCTGCATACTTTTATCATTTTCAGATCGATTGCATTGTTTTGTTTGTTACTATTTCTAAAGGACAATGGAAATAAGTTTTGTTCGATTATGGATCAATATTAAAATTTCTTCTATTCTTAATCGTTTAACGTTTCTTTTGTTCAATTCAATGTTCATTTAATTTATCGCTAATAAAAACCAAAATTATACTAACCTACTATGACTTGAGACAGCTACTAAAACACGTCTATGAGCAAAAGGCATTACATCTACTGTACCAAAAGATGAGAATTTCTTTATTAACTGAAAAAAAAAAAAAAAAAAAAAAAAAAAAAAAAAAAATACAGATTAATATAGTTTTCAAATACACTTTCATATCTGAGGATACCTCCTTAATATCTATAGATGGTGACTTTAATTTGACGTGAAGCCATTCTGGTCTTGATAATACTGGATCCTCCCCATCAAATTTCTAAAAGTTTATACTATAGTTAAAATATTATTTTATACATATGTTTTATAGTTAAATATATATTTTCCTTACCATGTACATTTCATTGCTTCTTGCTATATTTATAGAATTTACAAATTTTTTCACACAGCTCATTAATTCAGAATGTGTTACTGTTCTTTCTTCTAAACCTCTAAAGATAACAAATATTATTTATAATTGTTTAATTGATATTATTATCAATTATAATATAAATATAACGTGAAACATACTCTCCAAATGTTTTTACACAAAATATATGTGCCATTTTCACGAATATGCACCCCGCAAAATAAGCATCCCAACCAGCACTGTGATAACTTTTCTGATCTAGAATAAAATTTGAAATAAATTTTTATATAATAATGAAATAAAGCTTAATAAGTCGTCATAAAGTTAAATTACTTGAAAATGGACATTCTTCAGTGAGGACAATTTTTGGTGAATTAAAACTTAAAAAACTTCCTTTAGTCATAAAATATTCGTACAGAATACTCAGTGAATTTAGCTTCCAGTTCACTTAAAACAAAAATATGTTCTCAAGTTTATATATGTAGATCGTCTTTGCAAATATTTTACATCTACATCACCTTTACAAATGTTCTTTACCTTCAGTTTTTTTGTATAATTTCCGCAATTCAAAACTTAAAAGTTTTGTGTCATATATCTCAGGAAATAATGTATGTATATTATTTTTGAATTCTGTATATGAATCTGAAACATATATAAAATTAAATTATGTGATTTATCAATTATTATTATTTAATTTAATTTATTTAATACCTGGTAATGGTTTATAGAATTGTTGATGCATGAACATTAAGTCCAAAAGTACATTATGCCCTACTATGAATTTCTTAGAAGAAGATAAAAGTTTAAATATTTTGGAAAATCTTGTAAAGGAATTTAGCAGCATTTCTTCCAAATTACTTTTTTCCTTTGATACAGTCTTCTGCGTATCAGATGCTACTTTTATAATATTTATCTGAAAAACAAACAATCTTATGTATCCAAACGAGTATGCAAATAAAAGTAACATAATAATACATACAGATTTATTGTCTGATATAGTCCAAATGTTATTATAATTATTTCTTAAGTCTTTATGTAATATATATTGCAAAGTAGGGTTAATAACTCGCAATTTTAATGTTGTCTGTTCTGACCTGGTCATCCATTCAGAAATCTGGTTCTTACATTCATTGAGTTCAATTTCTTCTTCAAACGATAAATGTTCTATAATATTTGCTAAATTGCCTTGTGTTAAATAATCCTTTAATAACTTTTCATCTGGCTCATTCAGATAACAGATACCATCGTTTATAAACTAGAAAATTTATAAATTTGTCTATGTAGTATATTTATCATTGTTGCCTAGCCGAATAAACAAATATGTTTTACTCCAAGTATATTATCATAGCTTACTTTATTAAAGTCAAAATTATGTTTACAAAGAAAATTTAACGATGTCACTTGCCATGATATTCTTTTATTTTTTAATGGTATAGATTTAGGACACAAGTAAAAATTAAAGCATTCTGTTTCATAGGAATTTTCGAAAGGAACATGGCGAAAAGTCGCAATGCCAAACTGCACTATCATAAATTGTTCAATATTTTTCTGCAGTATCTTATAACGATCGCTAAGAGTATCAAACAAACTGAAACAAAGAAAACATTAACGTGAGAAAAAGAACAATTACAACTGAGATAACCTTTAAATCTAACCTATATTTCAAACGTTCTTCCGAATACATGCCCGAAAATTCAGCATCTATGGTAATGAAATTTGCATTATTTACAGCATTCTCTACTTGTGGGTATAAAGCCTCAAAATTACTGTCCAAAACTTCTTTCATATTAAATTTTATTTATATACAGCTAACTACTTTTACGACGAACAGTCTCTTGAATATAACCTAACTAACCTATAACACTATTTTATTGCAAGAATCTTTGAATGAAATGAAATCAAGAAGTTTTATTTAATTCAAATTTTATTTATGAAAATATGATTTTTATAGATCCGAATTTATTAACATCACTGAAGAAACTAATTGAAGCGCGACATTGCACGTGTTCCCGTCAGAGATAGAATTATGAATTAGTAAACAATCGAAATGTATGTCTTTCTTTTTTCAGTTTATTACACTTTTTATCATTGTTTACTATAATCTTGTTCTTCATCAAACAAGCCTTCTAATTATCGTGATACATTTACTCTTAAGTTTAAACCTAATATTAATATTAATATTAAATATGCGTTTATTAAATAAATTAATGGAATT